ATTCTCAGGACACAGTCCCTGTTCTCATGGATCTTTGTCCCCCCTCTTTGTTGGGAGACAAAACCAAAGCACATGTACTGAGCATCCAACAGTGGAGGGCACTGAACATTTATCAGTTCTCTCCAGATGTGCACAACCTCAATCTGGCAGCTGTGAGGGGTGCAGGCTGAATTTGGGAAAGAAACAACAGATGCTGAACACCTTTCACCTGCCAGGACCTCAACTGAGTGCTTTACATTTTTATCTTGTGTGTGTGTGTTTTAAACGGGAAAATAACTTTATTTCATTTGGTGGGTGGGCAGGCGTCGAGGCTAAGAACTTGTGGAACTGCTTCTTGGTACCAGTGGCCTTCACGACCTTGAACACATTGAAGTGCATGGTTTTGCTCAGGGGCCGGCACTCGCTCGCCGTGATGATGTCGGCAATCTGGATGTCCCTGAAGCAGGGAGACAAGTGCACGGATATGTTCTCAAAGCAATTGTACTTGCAGATATAGTGGAGGTAGTCACGGTGGATGACAGTGGTCCTTCTGTCATCAAGTCATCAAGTGCATCTTTATCTTGATCACCACGCCACACAGACTGCACGCTGGGATGGAGATATTACCAGTGAAGGGGCATATCTTGTCAATGTAGGTGCCCTCAGTGGCCTCCTTGGCATCTTGAAGCCCAGACCGATGTTCTTGTAGTAACACGGGAGCTTCTCCTTGGCAGTTTCTCCAAGCTGATCCCTCTTCTTGTTTTGGAAGACGGTCAGCTGCTGTGGGTAGGCATGCTTGGTCTGAATGTCTTCCATCTTCCTGGCCACTTGGGAAGAAGAGCTTTATCTTGTTTTATGTCGTTTCACCTTCACACTGTCCTGCAGGGGTAAGTCATGGTATTGCCATTTTATAGATGGGGAACCTGATGTGTGAACCAATGACTTGCCCAAGTTCACAGACCTAGGAGAGTCCAAGCCACAACTGGAGCCCAGATCTTTCTGTTGCCAGAACCCCAGCACCATCCATAAGCTGATATAGGGAGAAAGGAATTCAAGTACAGGACTCTGGGCATGTGTGTGAGGTGGGTGTCAGGGCACAGAGAAAAGGGTGATTTTATTTATTTATTTTAATTTTTTAACTTTTCATTTTGGGATAACTTCAGGCTTACAAAAATAAAACAAAGAATTCCCATATACCCTTCACCCAGCTCCCCCGAATATTAACATCTTTCATAACTCTACCATAGTTATAAAAACCAAGAAATGAACATCAATACAATACTATTCACTATTCTCCGGACTTCATTCAAAGTTCTCCAGTTGTCCCACTATTGCCTGGTCCAGAATCCAATCCAGGATCCCACATTGCATTTAGTCTCCTTAGTTTCTTCCTGTCTGGGACAGTTCCCCAGGCTTTCTTTGTCTTTTAAGATCTGACAGTTTTGGAGAGTGCTGGCTAGGTATCTTGTAAAGTATCCTTCATTTTGGATGTAGTCTTAGTTGTCTAGTGCTACTATAACAGAAATACAACAAGTGGATGGCTTTAACAAACAGAAATTTATTCTCTCAAAGTTTAGGAAGCTAGAAGTCCAAATTTAGGGCACCAGCACTAGGGAAAGGCTTTGTCTCTCTGTCAGCTCTAAGGGAAGGTCCTTGTCATCAATCTTCCCGTGGTCTAAGAGCTTCTCAGCACAGGGACCCCAGGTCCAAAGGGCACACTCCACTCCTGGCTGTTCTTGCTTTGTGGTAATGAGGTCCCTCCCCTGTCTGCTCGCTTCTCTCTTTTATATCTCAAAAGAGATTGACTCAAGATACAAGCTAATCCTTTAGACTGAGTCCTGCCTCCATTGACATAACTGCCTCTAATCCTGCCTCATTAACATCATAGAAGTTAGGATTTACAACACATAGGATAATTACATCAGATCACAAAATGGAGGACACCCACACAATACTGGGAATCGTGGCCTAGCCAAGTTGACACATTTCTGGGGGACACAATTCAATCCATAGCAGATGTATCTGCTGTTTTCTCATGAATAAATTATGGTTATGCATTTTTGGCACAAACACCATAGAAGTGATATTATACCCTCCTCAGTGCATCAGATCAAGAAGCAAGTGATGTCTACATGTCATTACTGGAGAGGTTAACTTCCGTCACTTGGTTAAGGTAGAGCCTGGCAGGCCTCTCCACTCCCTTTGTAATTAGTGAGTATCTTGTGGGGGCAGATATTTTGAGACTATGCAAATATCCTCTTTCCTAACACGTTTGGGTGATTTGGCCAAGGTATCCAGGTGGTTAAGAGCTACAACTGCTAACCAAAAAAAAGGTCAGCAGTTCAAATCCACCAGCTGCTCCTTGGAAACCCCATGGGGCAGTTCTGCTCTGTCCTATGGGATAGCTGTGAGTCAGAATCGACTCGACAGCAATGGGTTTTGGTTTGATCCAGGTGGTAGATTGAGCTCCTGTGTTTTAGAAACTCTCAGTCTTACTTGTGTGTTCAGAGCAGGGTGAGAGGAGAGAAACTGAGATGGTCAAGGAAGGCTTCTTGGAGGAGGGGCAGAATCTAGAGAAGGCAAAGGAAGGCATTCCAGGAAGACAACCGCCCAGGGGAGGCCATGGAGGCAGGGATATCCTGGTGCTGGTGTCCCTCCACCTGTGCACCAGATTCCCGGGGCATCCCACCTTTAGGGGTTCTGCCCCATCTCAGCCTCAGAACTAAATCATTTCTACCAAATTCTCATGGAAACCTGCTTGGTTTTGACCAAATTGTTTGCAGATAAATCAGCTAGCTCTTCCCTAAGAGGCCTAAGGAGCAGCTGCCCCTGCCCCCACCCCCATAGCCTCTTACAGTAAATCCCTGTAGAGATTTGGGGTCCATCCTTCATGTCCCCCAACCTCGACTTTTCTGTCTTAGACTCAGCCAGAATCCCTTCCCCTTTTCACGTATAACCTAAGCATTGACTGCCCCATCCTACCCCTGCCTCAGTTATCCTTTTGTGAGGCGAGGACCTAAGACAGGTCTTCCCAGGCTGGCAGGGCTGGCGACATAATTTGCGGTGCCCATTGCAAAATGAAATTGAAGCCCCTTGTTCAAAAAGTGGAGCCCTGCTGGTGCAGTGGCTAAGAGCTTGACTGCTAACCAAAAGGTCGGCAGTTTGAATCCACCAGCCGCTCCTTGAATACCGTATGGGGCAGTTCTACTCTGTTGTATAGGGTTGCTATCAGTCGGAATCGACTTGACAGTAATGGGTTGGGTTTGGTTTTTGTTCAAAAAGCAGGAAAAAAGTGCTTTATAGGTGCTAAAATACAAAGCTTTCTCCTTTCTTTTATAATCTCTTTTGACTTGCCATGGTGTTTTTAATTAGCTATTTAACACTCTAAGTAAAGAAAAGTTAAAAAGTTAAATGATTGGTGTGAATTTTACTGTTCATCTTTATATTCTGCAATGCCAGTTTTAAATGTGAATATAAGAACATTTAACTCATGTGGAATCACTGGAATTATACAATTCATATTTCATAACTTGTACGTGCATATATGTTTTTTTCTTACCAGAAACAGTGGAAATGCTGCACAATACGAACTCACTTATTTTTATTTCACTTGTTGATACACACACATTCTACCAACACTCTCTACCTTTGGCTTACTGATGAGTAAGGAAAGACTTTCCCGTTCTTTCTGTGTCATCATTGTGAGCATCATTGGTTGGAAAATACAGGAAAGTAGCATGAGGGAGAAAAGGGGAGAGAGGGTTCCTTGGTTGTTGATGTTTTTTAGAGCCCTTGCCATCTTTATGCATTTGAAACGAATTCTGGTTTGAAGTGAAAGCACGACCTCTTCAGTTGGTCACAGATGTACACTTACCTGTTCTTTCTCACTTTGAGTCTTGCTCAGTTCCCACACACAGTGAGCCCACTAGATTCTGTGCTCATGGGGCATTGCGAATGCTCTCTGTGTATGGGGAGGTAAGGAATGGAGGCTGCACATACTGCATGTATACCCTCTGTTCGTGTGCACGTTCCATTGTCCCACAGACTCCACTTACAAGACACAGGTTCAAAGATGAAATCATTTCAAGACAGCAACAGCAGAGCATTAAACCAAGTGTGGGGCCCTTCTGCGTATGGGGCCCCGTGTAACTGCACGTATGGTTAGCCCACCCTGCCCACCTCTCACTGCTTCCTCCAGCTAGCAAACAGAACTAATACAGTTTCTCCAGGCAAGCCCCCTGCTGTTTCCTGCCTCTGGGCCTTTGCCTGTTGTTTCCTCTTCCCCCAAAACCAAACCCAACCCATTGCCATCGAGTCAATTCCGACTCATAGTGACCCTATAGGACAGAGTAGAACTGCCCCCGTAGGGTTTCTAAGGAGCAGCTGGTGGATTTGAACTGCCGACCTTTTGGTTAGCAGCAAAGCTCTTAACCACTGCACCACTAGGGCCCCTCCTCTACCCCAGTGGTCCTTAAAGTATGGTCCCTGGAGCAGCAGCAGCATCACCAGGGGACTTGTTAGAAATTCACATTCCCAGGCCCCGCCCCAGACCTACTGAATGGGAAACTGGAGAGAGGGCGCAGCGCTCTGGTCTTTAACAAGTCCCTTGGGTGATTTTGATGCACGGTTTTGAAGCACGCTTAAGTTTTACCACCACTGCTCTTTCTGAAATATTTTCCCACCTCATTTCAGCCACCTAACTCCTACTACACCCCCTTCACTGTAAATGTCACTTCATGGGGGAGGCCCAGCTCTGGGCTGGATGAAACCCCTCACTCTTGGTCTCTTCTGTGAGTTCCTCACTTCATGCCTCCCCTGTCACGGGCTCTGGGTATGTCTGTCTTGTTCTCCATCTTGTCCTGGGTACTGAGCAGGGCAAACAGGAGGCACACAGCAAGGGAGGGTGAAATTGTATCGATGCAGAGGGCGGCCAAGGGAGTGGAGAGGCGGCACCTGCACGGATCGCGCAGGGGTTCGAGCGGAGCGGAAGAGGGGCTGACACAGACCATCCCCCCCTCCAGGTACAGCTTGTACACGCGCACCTGGCTTGGGTATCTCTTCTACCGACAACAGCTGCGCAGAGCTCGGAATCGCTACCCCAAGGGCCACTCCAAAACCCAGCCCCGCCTCTTCAACGGTGAGCTCTGGCTGCCCCTGACCAGCATCCCCCCAACTCTGCCCACCGTACCCTCCCTGCCTATACCCCTCATACACCCCGACAGCCTTGCTCCCTGCCTGCCACCCCACCCACAGCCCCTCTCTGTCCCCCAGGAGTGAAGGTGCTTCCCATCCCGGTCCTCGCGGACAATTACAGCTACCTCATCATCGACACCCAGGCCCGGCTGGCTGTGGCAGTGGACCCTTCCGACCCTCGGGCTGTACAGGTGAGAAGGCATGGGGGCAGGGAAGTGCCTGGGGTCACCCTTGGAGGCTGGCAGCTTCCCCTTGCTTGAGAGGGGTTGACCGTGGCCCCTCAGCCAATGGGATGTGGCACTTGCCACTCCTGCCTCCTCCACACCCACGCGCGCACACACACACACACACACACACACACACACAGACCTCTACACAAATACACGGAGACCCCCTCACACACAGCATGGGGGAGGGGCAAGCATCCAGAGCAGTGTAGATGAAGTAGGGAGGGCAGGAGTGGGGGGACCAGGGCCTGAGGGAGAGGGATGCTGATGCCGGAAGTGGGCCTACTGAGTTTCCTGTCTGTCTCTCACTCTCTGTGGCCCCCTTCTGACCCTCTTTCTTCTCTCCTCACCTCTGTCTGTCCCATTTCTTATTTCTCTGTGTGTGCACGTGTCTGTGTGTCTCTACCCTCTCTCCTCTCCTCCCTGCCACCTCCCTACCTTCTCCCATGTGCCCCATGCTAGATCTGTTTCCTCCTCCCCCTCTCCTTTCCCCAGCTCTCTCCTCCCCACCCCCTTCTCCTTTTCCTCTTATCTCCCCTTGCTCCCCTCTCCTCCCCACCCTGCACTCCCCCCACCCCCATCTCTTTGTACTTTGTCTCTCCCCCCACCTCCTGTTCCTCAGTGTCAATACCTCCTCCTCTCTCCCTGCCAGGCTTCCATTGAAAAGGAGGGTGTTACCTTGGTTGCCATTCTCTGCACCCACAAGCACTGGTAAGGGGCTGGGTAGGGGGAATCTGGATGCGGTCTTCCCTGGCCAACTCTTGCCCCAGCTGGACTTGCAGGACCAGGCCCAGTGAGATGGGCCTGCTGGGGATCAGGACATCAGGATGGGCAGCAGCACCTTCTTCATGACGTCACTGGGGCACCAGCAGAGATGGAAGGCGGCCACTTCTACCGCCCCACTTCTCCGGGCTCCTGAAGACCCAGGGGAGGGGAGGGCAGGCATTCATCTTCCATTCCATGGGCATTTATTAGATGCCTCCTGTGCACTGGGCATAGGCAAAACTTGTGATCTCTGCCATCAAGGAGATTATAGTCCAGTAGCAGGAGACAGCCCTGCATAAAAGTGTATCACCATTTATAAAAACAGTGCGGGGACAGTGTCTGACCTCCTCTAACTTCACAAGGGGGAAGGAGAATCAACACTAACAGCCCAAGGCTGATTCCTATGAGGCAGAGGTCAGACATCCCTCCTTTCTTAGCCATCTTTACAAATTCTGACACCAACCGTCCCTCCCACGGCACTCTCTACTTCTCTGCTTTGATAATACATTACAATGGCCACACAGAACTCACAGACTATACTCATGATTATGGGGTTTATTAGGGAAGTAATAGGTTACAATTCAGACTCAGGAACACTCAGAATACAGTTCTCCATCAGGACAGTCTATTCCTAGCCATGCTCGCAGGCACGCCTCTCTCTGGCCCTCAGCCTCTGCCCAAAGTCACTCGGGTTTCTCTCTCCTTGGGCTGGGAAGCCCACCACACCGTCTCCTGCTGCTAGGTCTCTGCCACCAATTCTCGCTGCCTTCAGTATTACAGCTCTGTGTCTCCTGGTTCCGGGAGCTTCTCAGCACAGGGTTCCTGAGTCCTAAGGACGTGCTGGCTCCTGGCTGTTCTTCCTTGGTGGTGGTGGGATCTTCTCTCTCCTGCCTCTGGGGTGGCTGATTTCAAACCTAGCAGGATGGCAAAATTGACCAATCCCTTTGGTGGGCCACAGTTACCCTATCACACAGTCCCACCCAATCCCTTGGGTGGGAGTTACAAGACCACAGCTAGAAAGGCCAAACGAAAGTGATCCATCACAACACACCATTATGAAATTTAGGGGACACTTAGCACAGGGTATGGGGGTAGGGGGCACCAGGCGGGGTGTGGTCAGATCCACTTGTGGGAATTAGAGGGTGATGACCTTGATGCTGAGAGAGCCCAGAAAGATGAGTCGGTGTTGGCCAGGTTGTTGAGGGGCATGGGATGGATAGCAAGTTGGGGGAGGGGGAGACATTGTGGGCAGTGGAACAACTTGAACAAAGGCCTAGAGGTGTAGACAGTTCAGCCCGGTCTGGGAGCCACAGCCCCCAAGGCGCAAAGGCCTGGAGATGCCATGGGGAGTGGAGAGAAGGGACACCAAGAGGCCCAGGAATGGTCACCCCTCAAAGACCCCTGCCTGTCTCTGCCATCCTGCAGGGACCACAGTGGAGGGAACCGTGACCTCAGCCGGCGGCACCGGGACTGCCGGGTGTACGGGAGCCCTCAAGATGGCATTCCCTACCTCACCCAGTAAGTCCCTGACCAAGGAATGGGATCGCCATTCTAGGGGCCCTTTCCCTCACCCCATCCTTCAGTGGAGTATTTCAGGGGTATCGACAATTGGACCTTCACTGACCCCTTCCTGACCCCATCTGCAGCTTGGCACTGCCCACCCTCTATTTGATCCAGCCATGGTCCCCTGAAGAGGAACGGGGAGGGTTTGGGTCTAAACCCTGAGCACTGGAGGTGCCTTCTCTCTCTAGTGTGGAAATCCACCCTCCTGTAAGTCCCTCAGCCCCATGGGCCTGGGATGGGGACAGGGATCAGCATGGCAAAAGCTCTAGTACCTTCTTTCCCCTGTTGTCTTGCTTCCCAGTCCCCTGTGTCATCAAGATGTAGTCAGTGTGGGGCGGCTTCAGATTCGGGCCCTGGCCACCCCGGGCCACACACAAGGCCATCTGGTCTACCTGCTGGACGGGGAGCCCTATAAGGGCCCCTCTTGCCTCTTCTCAGGAGACCTGCTCTTCCTCTCTGGCTGTGGTGAGTCCCCCTGAGAAGGAGAGAGGCAGGAGGGGTAGAGGAGGAAGGGACAGAGGGCAGGGCAGCTATAGTCCCAGGCAATGCATTAAAGCACGGTTCTCAGCACAGATGTCACCCCAGCAGATATTCCCGCCTATGTTACCCTGTTTTTTTTTTTTAATATCCTCGAGACTTCCCAAGGGAATGGACAGGAGAGAATGCCAGTGACTGTGTAAAGACCTCACCGCAGGGCATTTGTTTGCACTGGTGGAGCCTGGCTCTCTGATGCAGCGACAGGCAGGACTAGGTTTTGAACAGCTGGCAAGCCCTGAGTGAGAGGATGACCCTGTGGAGGGCGAGGACCACGAGTTCAGGCTGCATGGAGTCCCAAAGGGCACTACAGCCAAAAGAGTGCTCTGTGGAAAAGTGCGGCTTGGGACTGGGAGAGCCAGCCTGAAGGTCCTGCGCCCCTCTCCACCCAGATGTCAACATGTGGAATGGAGCCCTTCAGATGGGCTTGGGTGGGGGTGAAAAATTTGGCCCACCTTCCTGGAGGGAGTAGATGCCTGGGGGGTCGGCTGGTGGCCAGCCTGAGCCACACAGGCTGGTCCTTACCCCTCTTCGTGTATCTCATAACATACCCCCCTCACCCCACCCAGGACGGACCTTTGAGGGCACCGCAGAGACCATGCTGAGCTCACTGGACACTGTGCTGGGGCTGGGGGACGACACCCTGCTGTGGCCTGGTGAGGCATCCCTCCCACC